TGGTCGCCGCTATTTATAGTGATGGCGAAAACTCGCGCATGGGCGTGCATTTTGTTTCATTCCGGATTAGGCAAAATGACTGAAAGGCCTCCGCACTAATGCCAAGGTAGTATAAGTCCTGTCGTTGGTGCTGACACCTGTCGGGTTAGGAAATATCTGTCAGATGAGATGATTTCTCGGAGCCCCTTGCCCTTCTGATAAAATAAAACGCTTTTCTCAATGGTTTATCACAAACGTAGAAACTTCTATGATGCGCTCGTTTGGCAAAAGGTTATTTGCTACATTCCTTCCGCACATTAAGATCAAATGCAATAAAAAACTCAACGCATGAATCAAAAAGACACATAAGCCCATCTATGCAACAGCTGCCGACATTTTTATTCCAGCATTTTCTTTTCCTGACGGCGAAAAAACTGATTGCCAATGAGTTATATGAGCAGTATTATTGTAAAAAGTGTTTAATTGCTAAAGTCGATGTCCCCTCTAAATTCCTTCAAAACTTAGGGGTCGGCATCTCCTTTGAGAATCCGCTCTTCCACGTTACAAATGATTATCAGCGAACTGGTTTTCATCCTTGCATAGCAAAATATTTACTTTTACTAACCAAATTGATCGCTTATTTACCTTTTCTTACCTTCATCACGATTTTCGTGCAATATGTTGTACTATCACTTCTTTTGGTCAAGAAGTACCGAAATCCTGGACCTACTCCGAGGAATGTCTCGCAGAAAGTACGTCATAAATACCTGAAATCGCATTTTCACTTATAACTCACTTCACACTGGGACGATGCCGTGTGCCTTGCCAGCATTTCCCTGTTTTTCGAGAAAATCTTTTTAAAAAAAAGTGACTATCTTTATCATGATTTCGCAACTGCTCTTGAATCTGATCAACCATCAACTCACAGTTATTTATGGAAAATCCTCTCAATCAACTCGAGAGCAAAGTTATAAGTATCCGGCAGCGATATCTTTGCCAAATTTGGAGAAAACTACTCATCTTTTTGCGGGGGCACCAAGGCAAATTAGCCTGTCACTATAATCTTGGCTTGATTTACGAATTTTCCTGAGGAGTAGAAAAAACACATTTCCTCAAAAATTAAATCTAGCTTGTCGTTGGATCTGTCTCAACTTCTCAAGATGGGGTACCGGTAATGAATCGAAATGCATCGACATACATTGGGAACGATGCCCCTTGAACAACGGATATAGGCGTTGCTTTTTGCACCTATCAATTTTATTCTTTTATCATTTTTGTAACTTAATTGTATTTAGCACACCATTTCCTCTGCCACCAGTACTTCACCAAATCTCATCGAATCTCCGCCTGCTTGTCACTCTTTTTTGTCACATGGCCGTCTAGAAAGGGTCGTCTCCTACCTGCTCAATAATAGTCTCCTCAATTTCCACTTGTCCCGTAATACTGCTTCCCGTAAAACCGCCCGAAATTGTCATCCTTTTTTTCCTGCGCGGTTCACTAGTTAACTCTGAACTTTCATGTGCTTAAATGAGATATATAGCTGTGCTTGGAAGAGGAACTGAGTATCCCAATGACGCTTTCGATAAATACGTTTTCCAAGACCCTCCAAGCGCTGAAATTGATGAAAAACGCAAAGCTGTAAGTTGTTCACGCCACAAGCTAAATTACTCGTTAAAGTGTGTTCATATTTTATCTTAGAGAACTTCTAATCGGTTGTAAAGAGTTCGTCTAATTGCAGGAAGCCGCCGTCCTATAGGATGTAGTAATCCACAATCCCATTATTACCTAATGGGGCAGAGGTAGCGAAAACATTTAGAACTTCCCAAAAACCCTTTCAGAGCTGGGGGGGGGGGAGGTCCATAGCCTAAATGTAGCATTATAAATCTAATAATTGCTTCGAACATACCTCCGAGTTTCTTGCTTTTCCCCACAGTCAAGCGGAAGGATGCAAATTTATTACCTACTATAAGCTACGATCAACAAAACCAGTGACGAGGTACCTCTAAAGCTAAAATAGGTACTACCTGTGTGTTGAGGCTCATAACGCTTTTTAGCCTCTAGATGTTCTGCTGGATACGATCCAAAGGCATGACACAAAATTAAGGTGCCTGCTATCCAATGCCCTCAATGCTCATGGTTAGCTCCATAAATTGATGAGTCTTTCTGCACTACGTTTCGACTTTTGTAGGGTAAGCCGAGGAAAATGAAATTCAAGAGTACGTGTGAATGACAACAAAACAAGTACTTGTGCTTGCCAAAGGCCCTACAGATTTCGCAAATAGTCGCCACTTGGACGTTCACTTTATATCATGAGCACAGGAATGCAGAGATCTTTCGTGCCCGATATGTAAAACCCATTATTCTGCGCGCGCAATCACGCACAAAGAATACTGGTTTTAAGCAGATTGCATAGTTTGTGGATAACACCTATATCTCAAAGCGTACACGTGGAACCGATTTTGTTTGTATGCGTCATTATTCTATGACGGAAGTAGTACGATATTTTGAATTCGGCACGGGCGGCTTTCCATCATCTTATCATTTCATAGTGATACGGCACGACTGCTTCGCTGCTCTCACAGTTCCTTGAATTTTCAGTTCGTATTTCAATCACTTCAAAATGTCAGGTGGAAATTCATTCCCAGATCCAATCCCGATTAATGGCGGATCGCTCGAACGCTTCTAGGCAGGGTGCAGGCAGATTCGTTCCCTGGGGAATAAAGCTGTTGTCTTCCTGGTGACCCCACTAGCGTCCAGGCCCAGTCCGGCTGGTTGTTGTTCCCTCCACGCCAAGAAAATAGCCCTCATCCAGCAAAGTTACAGGGGGCAGGGTCTTCCTGCCTGGATCTCTAACTTTCCATTGTCCGAGCTGCATTTTGGGATTTGGATAAACGCCCTAAAATCGCTCTTTTCTCCCCGTTCAAAGCTCATATTTGTCTGCAAGCTCTGCATTTTTAGGCCTTTCGACGCGTAGTGTCGAAAGGCCTAAAAATGCAGAAAGGTGAAAATGCAAAATCTGCTGGAACACTGCCTTTGAGGTAAAATATAATTTCAGAGCGAAATCTTCTCAAGTAGGTGTGGGCCCGAACTGAAACACGGCAAAAGAATATAAATCGAAAAGAAAGCTGACAGAACAATCGGTAATTCATACCATAAAGATGTGGGTAGGAATAAACTAGCATGAAAAGAAACGGCTAGCTTAATGAGAAAATGATATTGCAAGTGAGAGCAACAAATAGAGCAACCATTCAAGATTCACTGCAGCGGCGAAAGAGTTAGTCAAAGGGTTCCTTCATACTACGCCGCGCACGCCGCGCACGCCACGTACGCCGCGTACGCCACGTACGCAGCGTACGCAGCGTACACCGCGTACGCCGCTGCAGCGCAATGGAAATATGCTCACGGCAGCAGAGCTCCACTTTTTTTTGATGTATCTCTATATTTGCTGCACATTTGTGTCCCTCAATAGTGTTCCTTTACATTATGCATTTCTTCCTCTCTTTTGCTTTGTTTATCCTGTCTCCTTTGTCTATATCAATGATTGATGGAATGACTTAGGTTTTTGCGCTCCCTCTACTTTCGAGTTTCACAAATGAAATGAAATTTTCGTAACTGACTGCACATTGCGTCATCTGGTTGTATATTGGTGGTATATGGTTGTATGGTTGTACAGTCGGTGCCAACGATGTGCTCCCTTGCCGACCAGCTCAAGCGCAACGCTAGGACCCCGTGTCGCGTTCGCGACCGTATTATTTGAGCGTTCAAATCTGCCGCATTGATCGCAGATCGCTGCGCAATGCCCATGCGCTGCGGATGCGTAGACACTACGGAAAGGTGAGCACGTGATTGACATCGAATGTATGTTGTACCTGGTTGCAAATTTGCGCTGTTAACATCTTTTAACAAACACACATCACTGGATGAAAAGGATTCTTCTTCTTCATACTGTTAGACTGCACTTGCAAATTTGATGGCCGTTGTTGCTGCAGTTTGTTTTCTTCACCCAAGTTTCGGCGCTGACTTCACAGTTCACAATGTTAACGTATCTGGGGTCAAAGCTGTACAGAAAAAAATGAATGACGCTCGTAATCACAGGCAGTTATAGAGATACATAAAAAAGTGGAACTCTGCTGCCGTGAGCATATTTCCATTGCCTGCAGCGGCGCACGCTGCGCGCGCGGCGTAGGTGGCGTACGCGGCGTAGGTGGCGTACGCGGCGTAGTATGAAGGAACCCAAAGATTTCGCAAAGAGCAGGTGTCTTCTGACATATCATCCACCCCACTCGCTGCTACTCTTACTCTGCGTCTCTATGCGGCACGAAGAGATATAGTGTGGGCCTCGGCCAACTTCCCATATGTACCTCCGAGCCGTGCACGCAGCACTTTCCTTCAGTGCGTCCCAGACTCTAGTGGTTCTTGTGCGTTTTTTTCTTCACTAACTTTGTTCTTTCTGTAATCTCTTTATTCAGGGTTAGACGACCCTCGATGGCTGATGGTGATAAGTTTTTACGAGCCTTGGAACTCCTGAGAGCTTTTTCCTCAGAAAGTTCTCGTTTTTTTCCTCGGTAGTGAAGATTGGGTGTATTTTAGGGAGATTTCTCTTCAAACGTTTCTAGCACCGAGCACCGTGTTGATGTTAATTACTTGAATGCAAGCGCTGGAGTTCATTTTTTACTAACTTACCAAAGAAGGAGGCCACTGCTACTGTATACTATCCGCAACCCCACCGCTCCCTACCTTCCATCTAAGAAGAAGATGAAGGTACACGCGCCGTTTGTATTTCATAATTTTTATATATCATTTATATATTGTAATTCAAGGCCTGATGACGATTTTAAAAATCGAGACGTTGCCGTGCCAATAAACTACTGATTAAGAGCTCTTTTCAATACTTGCACCAGAATCCAGCATGAAGCTCAGAGATAACACCATACTAAAAAAGTCTAGCTTATTCAACGCACCATTTCTTTGGAGACTGCCACTTTACCAAATAAGAATGACCCATTCCCACTTGCTCTATCTCACTCATCGTCGTCATCGCCGGACAACTTTTTTTCCTCATTATTGCAGTCTTCTACCACATTATCTTCTTCAGAATCGATGTCCAATTCAGCGTTCGACGTTTCGCGCAAAATTGACGTGAATTTGTCGATTGATCTCTGTTCGGTCCTACTTGGTTTGCGTAAAATATCGCAGGAGCCAAACTCCTTCAATAAATGCGACAAAACCAATTTCGGGCTAAACATACTCGCAGATCACGAAGTTTACGCTTATCAAATGCCTCCCCGATGAGATGATTTCCAAGTTTGGCAGTCCACAACCAAGTGCTTCTTCCCGCCAATACAAAACTTGGAATGACGGGAAGCGAGTTCAGCAGAAGCCAACAGGCATATTTTTCCATTTTTAGTGTGAACATATGGTAGTTTCCAACATAGCGTTTTTTGATGATCTTCATTTGAAGATTGGTCAAAATGATCCACTAGGTTGAAATGTCTAACAATCTGTCAGCATATGGCTTGCTCGAAGCAAAATCGCACGTTTGAGATCAATGCAAAAGCGTTGGCGGCAACAGGAATCGAACCTTGGTTTGTTGCCTTTGAGACCGAGCCACTCGCCACTACACCGAGTCACAACGCGAAAGCTGTGCCCCGCCTTTTGTAGCGGAGGCCAATTTTAAAAGGAGAAGAAGGCCCATAATTCGGTTCAGGAAATGCTTTGCAGATAATGAAGGTAGATTTTGAATCAGCGTTTCAAAAGCTACCTAATCATATGATATGCACCTCTTCTCAGATGACCACTTCGACCGAGTATCCTTCCTTTGTGAGAAGCGTCAACATAGCGAGTTGGGTATGCGCTGATTTATGAGAAGCTGGTCGGGGCCCAGACTATAACATATTCAAGACATGCAAGAACATGTTGGTAATATGCAACAACTTGCTGGCTAAACATTTTGGCTATTAGCCTTACCATCAAGTTCATGCACGTTACAGTTTAGCCGTGCGTGCTGCAGATTAGAAACGCAACGCAAGGGTAGCAGCAATTGTGGAACGAATGATACATTATCAGTGTTCCTAGCGTTGGTGTTACCAGTAGTGCTAGTCTTACCAGTTTCACTTTCACACGTGTTACGATGTTAGCATTATTATCTTATCTCAACAGTTTCTGCCATTTTTCGGTGTTTCGCTTTAAAGCTTGCTAATTGTTCCGTTCGCGATCCGCAGGCTAAACACCACAGTTGCGTTTTTGCTGCTTCCTTGATGCACCACAAAAGAAAATGTAATCATTCGTCTACGAGATTGCGAACGAGAAAATGAGATTGTAAAGAAGGCTTTCGCAGCGGAGGACTTCATTCGGTAACAGTGGTGTGACTGGATTAAAGAACAGCAACCTTAAATAGCTTATCCAGTGTCTGGTTACAAGAATCACATCTGCTTTGCAATTAGCGTCATGCTGTAGGGTTAAGATAAGTGAAATTTGGATGGACATGGTTTTTCCAAGTTCACCGCCTTTCTCGCCCTTCTAAAGTGCGGTTCATAATTATACGAACACCCACAATTTTGTAAGTTTTCGGACTTTTTGGGAGAAACTCAGAAAGCCGTTGGTACCACGCGATAGAACACAGCCAAAAACGGTATATGATTCATAGGAATGGAAATCGATATCAGTTGTAGGAGTGTTTTTGCGCCTAATGCGAATTTTTAGCGGTTCATAATTATACGAACACCTCAAACAAAGGTCCATTTTTCATTCAAGATCGCAATCGTTTGAGTCCAAATTTTTTGAATAGTTACAGTAACAAAGTCTGACATATCTGCTAAACACTGAACCCAGTGCAGTTCAAAATGAGGACCGTTACTTTTTTCAGAAGGCTCTAAATGCTTTTGGAGTGATTGGGCTCCAGAAACATCCGTTCATCTGTGGTTCACGCGCTCTAATTAGCTTCTACCAAAGCTATGAGATAAAATAAGCTCTTTCGATAGGTATTTTGTTTGACGCTCGGAAAATCTTTGCGTTTTCGTGCCGTTTTTCAACCATGTTCCAACCTTAGCACAGAGTTAGCACGATTTTGAGCCTCAAAACTCAGCTTCTCTCTTGTGCAAACATTTGATATGAAGCAGCTGCATTGCTTGCATGATGATATTTCAGTACGAAAGTTTTTGGGTTTTTTCTAGAACTGATCTTGCGGCTGTGGAGCTACAAACCAAATAAAAGTGTGATTGCAATAGTAAAAACAGTATTTCTGGTGAAATAACTTCTGCGTGACGAAAACAAACGCTCAACGCTGCTGATTTTTTTTCTCCAAATATAAAGCCTTGTAAACTTCTACATACTATTGCTTACTTCATTGTACGGCTTCAGAAGCTGAGTTTTGAGGCTCGAAATCGTGCTGACTCTGTGGTAAGGTTGGAACTTGGTTGAAAAACGACACGAAAACGCAAAGATTTTTCAAGCGTCAAACAAAATACCTATCACAAGAGCTTATTTCATCTCAAAGCTTTGTTAGAAGCTCAATAGAGCGCATATGACGACAGAAGAACGGATGTTTTTGGAACGCAATCACTCCAAAAGCATTTAGCCCCTTTTGAAAAAAGTAACGGTCCTCTTTTTGAACTGCACTGGGTTTAGTATATAGCAGATATGGCAGACTTGGTTACTGTAACTCTACAAAAAATTTGGACTCAAATGATTGCAATCTTGAAAGAAAAATGGACCTTTGTTTGAGGTGTTCGTATAATTATGAACCGCTAAAAATTCGCATTAGCCGCAAAAACACTCCTACAGTTGACATCGATTTCCATTCTTATGGATCATATACCGTTTTCGGCTGTGTTCTATCGCGTGGTACCAACGGCTTTTTGAGTTTCTCTCAAAAAGTTCAAAAACTTACAAAATTTTGGGTGTTCGTATAATTATGAACCGCACTTTAGTCGAAGAGTTTTTTTTGCGCAAACACCCTGTCAGTGAGCGTGCAGGATAACAGCTCCATATTGCTAATCTGTGCCTATAAAGGAACTTTGAAAAAAAGGAACCTTGACAAAAATTGAGTTATGCCCTCTCAGACAAATGATCGGAACTTCCGCAGAGCGCTTGCGTCACCTGCGGAAGTTCCGTGAATGTGCTGCGGAAGTCCCGAAAAGAGGTCCTGCGGAAGTTCCAAGGAATGTCAGCTACAACAGCAAAAGAGAACACCGAAGCGAGATTTGAACCTCACCCTATTGACTGTGAGACTCACCTACTATCATCTACACCACGACTGACATGTTCGATAATGCGCTCTAGTTGTTGGCGAGGCAACATCACGAGACAACACATTCAAAGTCTTGCGGAAGTTCTGGCAGGCCAAAGTGCTGCTGAACCTCTGGCATTTTTCGGAGTTTCCGCAGATTTTGAAGGAGGTTTTGCGGAAGTTCCGGTTTTCAACCAGTTTGGCATGAAAACCCCACGGAAATTCCGATTCTCAACTTTTCACTTTTGCAGTAGTGAACAAAGTCCTGCGGAACTTCTGCAAATTTGGCTTGTCCTGCGGAACTTCCAGTGATTTGTCTGAGCTTATGAAAACCCTTTCGCACAAAATAAATGAATTCGACAGTTTATTCTAAGAGAAGTTAGCTCATGTAGGCAATATGGAACGCCAACTACATATCTTTGTAAAGTTCACTAACATATTATTGCACTTTCTTGTAGAGTTACGTTAAGTAAATTTCAGGTTAACCTTCCACTTTAGAAAAATTTTGGTCCCCTCTTTTTGCTTCAAAGCGGCTATACATCAGTTCCTGATGGTCTCTTAAAAACTGCCCTATTGAATGACGCTTACTATAGTCTTTGCGAAATGTGCGCTGCGTTAGGTCGATGTAAAAAGACTTCGCACAGAAAGTATTAGGTTGTTCCGAAAGTTCTGTCGTTTCATTTTTGAAAAATCGTAACTTTTCGCTGTCTCAATAGATTTACTCCGCTTTATTTCTATTAGAAAGAGCAAGCCTTTCCCCTGACTGAAGAGAAAAAAATGGAAAAGTAAGACCATATAAGTTTTGACCATTTTGAGTAAGGGTCATCAAAAATCTGGAACATGCAAAAAAATCTGAAATCGTCAGTACATATGTTTTTTGGCCTACCCTTTGCAGCTGTGAGGCGTTTGTGCTGTTAGGACGTCTCTCTAAAAAGTTACGATTTTTGAGAAAAGTGACAAATTATTTAATTTTGGCGTTATCTGTGGTTAACTGATAATAACTTTTCACAAAAACGTTCAAACAAGAAAAGCTTTTCACAGTTGCAAAGAACAGGTCAAAAAATGTATTTGTTGACGATTTCAGTTTTCTCTGCAGCGTTCCCGATTTTGGCGATCTAAGTTAAAATGAGCAAAGTTTGAATGGTCTTTTTTTCTATTTCTATCTCTGCAGTCAGTGTGCATCCGAAGCAAGCCAAAGAAGCATTCAAAAGCGAAAGACCTCTCTCTATCTGAAATAAAATAAAGTAAATCCATTGAGACAGCGCAAAGTTACGATCTTCTAAAGTGAAACGAGAGAACTTTCGGGACAACCTAAATAAACCAGAAGCGAAATATTGAAAACATAGAATCGCCTTGGTGAGCTCATCACAGTATTTTCCGGATTCAAATTTCATGCAATTCAAAGAAGTTACTGGGCTGCATAATTTGCGTATTTCGCAGAATTCACGTAATGTCGCGCGGTCCCCGTGCCGCGAAATGTCTCGACATTCCCGAAACTTTTTCACGTTCGTAAAAGATACTAAACAATGTATTTAGCAGAGGTAGACTGCTTGCATTCACAAATTTGAAAAGTGTAGTTGGAGAAGAAATAAATTGCCATAAATAATGCATGTTCAACGTGATTAAATAGCTGAAAGGTTCCAAGAGATTCACTGCTTTTTTGGTGCAGGGAGCAAAAACTCGCAATAAAGCAAATATAAACAAGATAAGGATTATAAAATTGTTATAAAATTAAATTAGTGAAGAAACAAAAACATAAAGAAGGATATCCGTTTTGTTCCTACCCTTAGATGGATATATATGATTAGTAAGCCCTCCCCGGAATTCATCAGTAGGGAGGGTTTATGTCAGTGAAAAATATAAAAAAAAACTCGCCTAATCATTCACGACAGCGTTGCTTCGAAGTTGGGATTTTGTAGGAACTAATCAGACACAAATGCTTTGATTTGCATGGAATCATTGATGGATATTTTCGCTACTGTATCCAGTAGATCGATTCCCCCTAACCTCATTTTAGGCTACCGTACACCCTCTGGCTTTGAGAATTGCGATGAACACGATGCTTTTTGTGGATCAGAACTCTTCCAAAGGGAATTGCTTATTCCGGTGATTGTCTGTTGCGCGCTGCTTTCAGAAGATTTTATGTTTTGGGGAATTTCGCGGTCTCCGCGATTTTGAATTTTGCACGTTCTGTAAGTGATATACAAGGTGGCCGAAATGTATGGAAGTCACATTTTTGCTCGCAAAATTTTCATGCAAAACAAATTTTGTTTGGTATTTTTGCATGTTAGAAACGAAGACATCTCACTTTGCTACCACTACGAGATGAGGCTCCTACACTGCATATGGTCTGCTGCAGCATTTTGAAGCTGACTCGTGTCAAAAAAGTAAAGGATGTAGTCATTGCGACGATCGTTGTACCCACTGCAAGACTTGAATAGATTCCAAGAATGAGTTCATATAGCATAGTGTCTAAGAAATAAGGTTGTGCATTAGCAGCACCAACAGAGAACAGTAAGTTCTCTTTTCAAAATAAGAAACTACAGTAATTGTAGTCGTCTCTCCATGAAATCCATATGACTTCGAATGTATCTCACGTATGTACGTAAAGTTATACCATAAGTAGGATTTGCTGTGATAAAAGTCTCTTTATTGAACCCAGATGCCTAACTTACATAATCACGCCTATTATCGTCAGCACTCTACCACTGCCGCAATGCGGTCAAGTCTCTGACTCAATAAATCTACCAGGTGTATTGTTCAAAGGTCTACACCTGCAGATACCCCAATCAAGGCGACATTTCGCCAAAAGCAATGTTAAAGCATGTTAGTTTAACATTGTTGCGCATCTGCCGAACGAGAACGATACCATGCTTCGCTTCCAGCGACAACAAAGGAGAATCCACAATGGAGCAAACACGACTTACTGCCTCTCTATGAGCGAAGTAGAATTCTACTCCAAGGAAGTTGTGGAACTAGCATGGAGGTACTCTGTCATGGTGGGAAATGTCCACTGTTTACTTAAACTTTTATTCAAGTGGATTGGCAGGAAAGGCGGGGCTTCGTGACCTACTGAGGCTAGAGAATGATCAGAGAGCATCAGAGAGCACGCGAGCGAGAGACGCAGACTGCGTCGTGGCACAAAGCCCCTTCCTTCCAGCCGCCAATCCAGTTAAATCAAAAGTTAGTTAAGGGCCCCGATATCATACATGTCGCGTACGCGTCATTCTCTCCCCGTAGAGGAACAAATACCGTCCTGAGCGCCGTCTCCACGATAATGCCTTACGTGGTCTGTCAAAGTATAGCTAAGGATCAGTAGTCAGCAAAGTCGGCATCCATCTCATGGCAGTACAGTACTGTATTGTTCCCCTATCCCTCCCCTTCAGCGTCAGTAGCACGACTTCGGTCCTGGATGGAAAGGCAAAGTATCATTATGATAGAGCAAAGCGACAAAAATCCTGTATTCAATCATTGAGTATGACAGCATACAATTTGGCTGAACGCTATACTTCACTTGCGGATGTCATTCGCATTACAAGCAGGGCTCGGCACAGGTGGCTTACGGGGCAAGCTGGATATCGTTTTGGAATAAGAAGCAAGGGGATTTCGTTGAAGCGAAACCCCCCCCCCTCCCCCCCCCCTCCCACACACACACAATCGCCTTCTGCCTTTGTGTCACGCAAATTGTCATTTCTGCCTTCTCGATCTGCAAAAACCAAAAATTTCCCGTTTCAACAGGTTCGCCGGTCAAGCGCGCGATTTCAAACCCGCCTCGAAATAAGCGAAAGACTCGTTTACAGCGAAAAGAAAATGAAATGACACCAAAATTGGTGTGTAGATGGGCAATAGGGATTTAGGACTATGTGCGAAAAGTTATGAAAAAATTATGTAAACTAAAGGCTTGGCAAACTTTTTTCGGAGTTAAGTGGCCTTACAGCTACTGGACAGCCATCTGAGGTGGCTGTAAAAAGAAAAAGTCAAGAATATTCCTTCCTTCACATAATTTTTTCATATGTTTGACATAAAAATATTCTACATCAAAAACCCTACAACTAAGTTTTAGAATCTCCTTCTCCTCTTCCCCGCATAGTTACAGCCCTCCAAATAATCTGTATGGCGGCGGCAAGCCTGCTCCAAGCGCGCAAGGGTGCTCGCCGGACACAGCATGCCGCCAATTCGAGATTACGAACATCTTTAGCTTCTTTTTCGTCTGTATGTTTTAAGGTTTTGTTTCATTATTTTCCGTTATTCGTTTTGATCTATTCATGATCGCGTCATAGGTGATGCCGTATTTTTGTGTTGAAGTCTACAGGGTCTTCGTTTTTTGAAAATTGAAAAAGCCACCTCATGCCGAGCACTGATTACAAGTTCTTCACATTCCAAGTTCTTTTGAATTTTAAGCTATTCAAACATCAGGTTAGCTACTTTATATGCTCATACTGTGCTTCACTAGAACAAAGTAAATGTACATTTATTTACAAAGTTTGTAATTTATATCAAGAAACGATGATCTACAAGACTGCTTTTAACAAGATGATTTGTACACAACAACGAGGTTAGAGCCGTTATGAGCTTTGACACACAGAATACAATAGCTGCTGCTAACGAAAGCGAGTTTAAAAGGAGATATATGACACAGAAAAGAGTAACCTCAAATGAAAAATGTGACCATTCACGACCGTAGAGAAAGCAGTTGGAGAATGCGACTTCTGATGGATCCCTAAACATATGGATGAGATTACTGTAACTTGGCTGTAGCATAGTTCAATACAAGTAGATTATTTTTCAAATATTTGTGATTGTTAAGACAATTTTGCATCTACTTTTGAGAAAGATTTATACTCTTGTGGTTATGGATAGTAGAAATACAGCTTTTATTATTTTGTTTAGCGGTTTGATATTTTATTGAGGATGTGTATGCCCTAGGCGGCGGAGCCCAATGTTGACTGAGCTAGTTTTGAAAGCTTTTTTTCTAACTTTATTCTCAACATTTCAACTCTACCATCCTTAAAAAATGACTCGCATAAGAGCTGCACACATTTTATTAGCAGCTTGCTAAAACTATAGGCAAATATGAATTTCCTGATTTTTTAAATTTCGAATAGAAACAGATACATTTTTCTGGCAAATGTTGCTCACTAATGTAATTCGAAACAAAAATATAACGTGAAGAGCTGTTTATGAACTCTTACGATCCATACCAATCCTTCCATTCATGGCTCTGATTTTTCCTTGAGAAAAATGTTGCTCTTTCAATTGAATGGAGGGAATCTACCGACTATCTACGTCGAAAAAACTTCAAATTTTTGGAAAAGTTCGTCCCAACACAATCCTAATTTTCAGTAATTGCATTTGAACGAGGAATCCACTTTTCCGAGTACAAATTAACACCGGTGATTGAAATGAGCGAAAAAAAGAACAAACCTTAAAAAGTTTCCTGTTTGTGTGGTTTCGGTAAGTTCGGCATCCATAGTAGCTTCAGCAAATGTGCGGTCCCTAAATAATTTTAATTCGGACAGAAAAGAGGAGCCGATTTGAATCAACACCTTACCTTATCACATAGTCGACGTCGGTCGTGGAATGGTCAATCATCTCGCGTAGAAAAGCGTTCATCTCTTGATGCGCTTTGACGGTAGCTGTCATCTAGAGAGCAGTGAAATTTTTTTGGTAAAGGTCAGTTATTGTGATCACTATTAGGTTGGTGGAAATACACACGATAAGAAATACTTGGAAAAAACTCTGGGTTTAGGCATTTTTAGCCCCCCCCCCCAGTTTTTGGGGCGCTTAAGTTGCCGCACTGAATAAGATCCTACTTTCAAATGAAGAAAAAGAGAAGAGCCGCGGAAGAAAAGAAGTATGCGCCAGCTCAGTTCATCACTGAGGCCTACACTTTCTCCATTCATCAGGTACTTGTGATGATCACCATATTGAGAAAGAGATAAGAGTTATTCCTTTCAAATATTTCCGCTCAAATAGCAGTCTCTTTCTGCTGGAAGAACTGCTGCCTTGACTTTGGCCAGTCGACAAAATTTCCGGAATTTTACCTTAGCTGTAGTCTGATCCAGTCCAGTGAGCCTTGTCTGTGTAGTTGCGTTTCTTGCGCTGGTCATAATTTCATCGTAGCGTGTTCTAAACGCTGTAGGTAAGCAGACTGTAAATGTCTGCAGATGAGAAGTTGGTTCAAGACCGCGAAAACCACACAGATCATCCTGAATGTCAATTTATTTTGTAAAATTATGCAAGGGCTTGCAAAACACTTACACGTTCTTTCTGTAGAAATTCATTCATTTCTGCCATACCAGTGTCAGCTCGACCGTGTACAGACCGACCATGAATGTAATAACCATGCAAAGGATGTGTGAGAGCAAGAACGCTAAAAAACTAATCTCCGTTACTTAATCAATACTTTTGAACTTTTCCAAACATTTCTCCCTTTCAGCCAACTTCCATACGTTGTATCTGGATGACTTAAAATACTCTTTGAAGTAAAAGTGTGCCGAAACTCAAAAAGGAAAAGCGATCAGAATAATGATCGGTCATTTGTCAGTAAGGGACAAGTGAATACAAATTAAATCAAGCAACGGTTTGAATACAAAGTTCAAGCGATTTCAGTTTTATACAGCCTCCGGAATCTCCATTTACAAAAAGCATAAAGTATGTTTTGCTTTGGGCACCTAACGCAATCAAGAAAATTGTTGAGTCACAAAAAGAATGTCATTGTGCATGCATTGTAATAATCTTTATTGTCAAAAGTCTACGTACATAACTCCCTTTTTGTCAATTTCTTTCATGCCAGATGTGTTCTCAATAAGGCGTTTATCTAAAAAATGATAAAAAGAGCCAAGTATAGCTTATAAGACTTTTTTTGAACTTCCCAAAGATTCAGTATCATGACTTGTAGTTTGAGCTAGAATTCAATTCCGGGCTATTGTAACATCAGCCAAGATCAATATTAGGTTGAAACCAAACTCCTGTCGCACCAATTTCCAAATATCGTAACTCCTTCCAATCAAATGTTCTTGCACGTTTTCAACTCTATTAGAAATGAATAAATCATGTATTTCATGTTCTTGACTGCTCTGTAATAAGCTTTAGTTGCAGAAATAATTATGCAAAAACGGGACACCAGTGGTTCGATGAAGCCGGCCCGTTAAAAAATTGAAAATCTTGCTATATCCCAAACTCATGAGTTTTCCGACCTCACCTTTCTAGCTGAGCAAAGTTTGTGGTGAATTAGCTCATCCCTGAAAGTTTTGACGTCGAAAAAAATTAGTAAAATCGGTTTTACTTTTGCGCTGTTTTCGCGAGATTCGTAACTTAGAAAAAGTTCGCTTAGCATAAACTTTGCTCAGTCAGGAAGAGAAGATTAAAAGATTCATGTGGTTTTTCTGGATTTTGTTGCACAGACTGTAGATTTTCATTTTACCTTAAATCACCACACCTCGAAAGATCTTCTTTTTCCGTTTTTATCTTTGCTTGGTTATAAACAAAAACAGAAACAAACTTGGTTAGAATGCGAGGTATCGTTAGAGAAGAAAATTAACTCTATTCAACAAAACTCAGACCAATCGAAAGAGTGTAGGAGGGAGAAGGTACAATTTTCAAAAAGTACATCACCCACCTTATATTTGCTATCGAACACAGATCAATAAAATTATGGAATGGATCTTGTATCATGCGTTCGACCACCACCAACTGAAATTATTGCATTTTGGTTGTGCAGTTATGTATTTTACGCATAAGCGCAACTTTACGAAATTGGCCTCGTAAAGCAACGTAAGAAATTCCTTACCTGGAAAACCCACTGCAGAAAACCTACAAGAAGATAGAATAGAACTACTACAGCAAATCTGGTCAGCACTGAGGATTCAGCAGAAGGAGTGCCTGTATATGGAATTTTTGATAGAAAGTATTTTTACTGGGTAGAATCAGCTGACCAGCTGCAAATCCAGGCTGAATAAAGCTAAATCTGATAAGATTGAATGCTTCCAAGAGCATAAGGACTAGGAGCATTTGTAGTCCCAAGGATGTAGCCCGTACACATCGGAGTTCGGCCCATTCATTAGCAACAAGATATGTGCGCCTGAAAATGTTTTTCTAAACTTAGCAATAAAAAGGAAAAAGCAAGCAGAAGAGCCAACCACACAACAACAGGGAGCTCCGTGCGATCTTTCGAAACATCGTTCGATGTGGGATGAATGTTGCGACTATCCTAAAACACGAAAGGCTGAAAAAAGCAAATAAAAGCGAATTTGCATTGGCTGAATTAGTAGATTTTTCATGAATTTTATTTTTATCCTTTTTCTTACTTTTTTAAATATTCCAACCACATGTTTGAACAATTCAACACTTTAGCACTTGTATATCTCAAGCTTTTGAACTCCATTTCTGAGCAAGAAATTTTACTTTCGAAAAAAATTTTGTAGGAGAGATCTTACTCAAGTTTGGAGCACGATGCTACACCTAACAATGGTTTGTAGTAAAACCCCCTTTTTTCTCAGCTGTCCTGAGATTAGTCATTCAAGACCGCCCACATTCCGTGCTTAGGATGGTCAGCTGAACAGTAGATCGTCCGGCTGAGTGCCACGGTTACTTGAACGTAATACCACTTAGCCGAAGGCAGGTTCTAAGGTGAACTGAGGAAGATAGTGTGCAAACGAGGAGGATCAGACAAAATTCTTGTAAGTTGCACGTGATTTACTTATTGAACAATAGCTGGCTTACCCGGCTCCGCCGTATGTTCCGAATAGAAAATTCCATTTCTTAACCGATTCGGACCAAACTTGGCACACATACACTTCGGGCCCCGGCGGGTGTCACAGTCCACTTTTCGTTACCGATCGATAAAATCGATATCGATCGATGACGAAAAGTAGGGGGGTGTAATCGAGCAGGGGGGTGTAATCGAGCATTGGCAGGGGGGTGTAATCGAGCATGCTGATCACCCCCACGGGGGTGATCATCATGTTCGATTACCCCCCTCCCCCTGTGCCAACTCCCAGCCCAGTAGCTCAAATTTTGCAAAAAATCGATAAAATCGATATCGATCGATGACGAAAAGTAGGGGGGTGTAATCGAGCAGGGGGGTGTAATCGAGCATTGGCAGGGGGGTGTAATCGAGCATGCTGATCACCCCCACGGGGGTGATCATCATGTTCGATTACCCCCCCCCCCCCTGTGCCAACTCCCAGCCCAGTAGCTCAAATTTTGCAAAAAATCGATAAAATCGATATCGATCGATGACGAAAAGCAGGGGGGTGTAATCGAGCAGGGGGGTGTAATCGAGCATTGGCAGGGGGTGTAATCGAGCATGCTGATCACCCCCACGGGGGTGATCATCATGTTCGATTACCCCCCCCCCCCTGTGCCAACTCCCAGCCCAGTAGCTCAAATTTTGCAAAAAATCGATAAAATCGATATCGATCGATGACGAAAAGTAGGGGGGTGTAATCGAGCAGGGGGGTGTAATCGAGCATTGGCAGGGGGGTGTAATCGAGCATGCTGATCACCCCCACGGGGGTGATCATCATGTTCGATTACCCCCCCCCCCCTGTGCCAACTCCCAGCCCAGTAGCTCAAATTTTGCAAAAAATCGATAAAATCGATATCGATCGATGACGAAAAGCAGGGGGGTGTAATCGAGCAGGGGGGTGTAATCGAGCATTGGCAGGGGGGTGTAATCGAGCATGCTGATCACCCCCACGGGGGTGATCATCATGTTCGATTACCCCCCCCCCCCTGTGCCAACTCCCAGCCCAGTAGCTCAAATTTTGCAAAAAATCGATAAAATCGATATCGATCGATGACGAAAAGTAGCCTATGACACCCGCCGGGGCCCGAAGTGTATGTGTGCCAAGTTTGGTCCCAATCGGTTCAGAAATGGAATTTTCTATTCGGAACATACGTACAGACAGACATACATACATACAGACAAACAGACATTCAGCTTTATATATAAGATTTAGTCGACATATTGTTGCGGTACAAAAACGCGCAAGTCTGCACAGTACAGGGGCCCAAAGAGAAGAGGATCAATTAACAGCTGATTGTGGCAAGGAAAAAAAAAGGTTTTTCATACGCTTAGGTTTCTTCAAAAGTTTTCAAACGAGCATCTCTTCTTTTATTTTTGATGGAATTTATGGTAAAGAATCGTAGTTTTCTTCTGCCCATTCATTTACTGGGAGGATTTCTTGATAGCGGCCATGATTGATTTTTTTCGATAGTGGGCGCTATTAAAATTGCTCGCCGACGCAGCAAAAATCTGCCACCCGGCCTCGAACCATAGTAGTGCGGGCTTAGTCTCAATCACCTATGAAAAAATCTGCTCGAACGGTGTGGGTCTTTTATTTTTGAGAACGCGCAAGATTCTTATTTCTAGGAAGCGATACAAGTTAATAGCTCATTGGATGCCGGTTGTGGCGTTGTAAAGTCGCCTGCACGAAATCGCCCGGGTTGCTGTAGGCTGAACGCACGCGAGCGTACCTGCAACGCGGCCATCGAGTACGGGCGCCATGATGACTCATATGCGCGAATGCCAATGTTAGCGCGCAAGACCCACGCGCGGGTGCTCAGTCCGGGCGATTCTGTGCAGTCAACTATACGATCAACGTAAGCCCGCCCCCAGTCGAGTTGCTCTGAAAGGGGTTTACTACGGGCCAATGTCGGAAACGTTTCTTCTGAGGAGTTGGTGGTATACTTTGACAAATCTACAGCAGCGATGATTGGACGCATGAGGGAAATACAAGGGAAATCCGATAAATAAACTGCAAAAGGGCCTAAAAGAACGAAGATTCGTATTTTTCACGGCCGCAGCAAGAGGGGTTTCGGAATTATCTATAACAATTAGGCACTGCTAGTTAGAGCCTGAGCCCAAAAATGAATTCACGTGCAAAATTTCCTAAGAATTGTGCGAATAAGGGAAATGACATCATCACATATCATCGTTATCCTTTTAACGCCTCACCTCAACAATGTGTGGCCTTTCCCAGTCAATAAAAAATGTCTCTTGCAATACAATTTGCAGAATTGTATGTACAAGTGCTATAAATTTCAGGACAAGAGTGGCGATCAAATATCGCATAAGGACTTGTTCCTGAAAAGCGAAGGCTCTAGACATTCAGAGATTTTTGTATGATTCTGATGGACCTGATCTTCATTCAGAGTAGTGTAGAAGGGATACTTTTGCTGTTTATAAGCGAATGTGATCCAACAGGACATTGCAGTGATGACAATGAAGAAAACATCGGCCAAAGCGGAGCATTCGTAAAGTAGGAACTGCAGAATGGTAGAACCATCCAACAGCGACACCTTTCCACTTCGCCTTCCCCAACTAAAAAAGAGATTGTTCTTACATAAAATGCAATTTTCAAAGGGAACAGAACACCTGTAAGCTTTCATAGCTGCCCATAATACAGACAGTGGGCAGAGCACGGCCATGGTGATCTCTAGTTCCTGAAATTCAGTTTATAAAAGGATTATATAAGCAAAATCGTATGAAGATAGTTCAAAACCTTCTACTTTTCGTTATGGCAGTTTTCATACCAGTCGAGAACGACGAATGGTTCTAGCGAAAGATTTTGACGTAGAAAATAAGTGAGCAAAAATTCTTAGATTTCCAGGTAAAGTCAGGGCTCGGCATAGGTTTTTTAGCAAACTGGCATTTTCGGGACAAAAAGCAAAGTGGGCATCTTTTTTGAGGCCGAAAAGACACAAAAATTGTGGAAAATTTTTTGGTCGACGTTTCGCTTTTTGAGGGTTTTTTTTACATTTAGAATTTAGGGTCAAAGAGGACTTGGTTTGCATTTTCTAAAAGCCACCTTGCGCCGAGCCCTGGGCACAAATACACCAAAGAAAAAGACAGTTGCTAAAGTTCCTAGAGTTCCTCTAAAACAGAGTCTATTTTTAGATTTTTGATCTCCAGTTAGAAAATCAGTCTTAGCTTTTGAATCAAGTGTACAATTTTGCATCAGTTGAAACTGTTTCCAGTTGAAAATTTATTCAACTATTTGCGTTTAGCTCTGAATTAGATGTAAATCTTTCTTGCGTCATAATGTCTATTCGCAAGAACTTTTGAATTCTACCCTTGCCCTACCGATTGACGTTTTTCAGAAAAAAAAGGGAGGGATCAGCTGCTCATAGCCATTTTTTATACCATTTGTGTCTTCACTTTCACATACTTTCTTTCATTTGTGCTTACCTTCATGGGATAACTTCTAATAGCCAAAAACCGCTCAATTTTGAAAAATTCTCCGTTGACTTATCAGTAAAAATTAGCGTACCCGATTATGGCGTGTTGGCTCTGTTTCATATGACACCATCAACTTCTGACTAATGATGAGATCCTTTGTATCATTCCTTTCCGAGTACTCAATCTCTACATATGGTGGAAATATGAGACCATCTCGGGTAGGCTGAAACAGTCACAACTTTCGTTGAAAACTTACGAAATGTTGATGAATTTAAATCTTACTTGTAGTTCCACATGCAAGTGCATCGCTTTCGGATAGCGTATAATTGGCGTAGAGTTTTGCGTGGTCATACTGTAGTCGTCATTCAGGAAGAATCTCCGAGTCAAGACCCAATGATTTGATTCTTTCGAGTCTTGATTCAGATAGCTGCCAGTTGAGGAGCGAATCAAATTGTTGACTATAGGTACTGGATAGAGCTAAAAGTAAATCAAGTTTTGGAATTTTATTTGTACAAGGAGGGAAAAATTCAATTTTCCATTTATTCAACGTTACTGCGATGTACTAATGTATTATCATGCGCACATAACTCATAAGATAACGCGTAGGGTGTGCAATGTACATAATAAAAAATGTTGATTATGAATGTAAATGGTTAGATGAACATTGTCATTATTTCTCCTGAATTTCCAATAAAACATTTCGCCTCTGACAAAAAAGTCGCGATTACAAAGCGAACTGCTGAAGATGAAAAATTTAACTTAATACTTGTACAGCGTGGTTATCAGGTCACTAGTACTGTTGGTAATGTTGGTTGCACCGTAATTCATCCGTTACATCGTCTCTCTTTCTTTAAACATTATATAGCAAAGGAAGTGTTCAAAGATAGTAAGAATATAGGTAAAATTAAGAATAATGGTGCAATATAATAATGACTTGTTGAATAATAGAGTAAAATAGCAACACAATAATAATAAATAACAAATAATGAATCACCTGTGGCGCACCCTTTTCGTCAAAGAACTTCAAGTAAGCCTCGTAGAATATTAATTCTTGACCTAGAAGTCTTTCCACAGGTATGTAACAGTCATGATTGTAACTGAAAATCATCGATCAATGAGAGTCTGTAATCCTTCGAATGTTTGAATATCGAGTTTGAACAATTATTTGAAAGGTACCGGTGACACTTATTCAAATAATCGTTCAAAAATCTATTACAATCATAAGCATTTTGTATGAAAATTTTACGAAACAGAGAGAAGAAACAAGGAAAAAAAACGGTCTAAACTCAATTTCTCATTGAACTTGTTTCTTGACTTGTTATTATTTATCACAGAAAATTATTACGTAAACTCACGCTCTACCAAATTCAAGCAAATGCAATGCCTCCTCTGGTGCACAGGGTTGGAGCACATTTTCTGCTGGAACCATACCGAGGTAAGTACCATTGAGGGCGTATCTGTTCAAAATGAACGATAAACAGACATAGATGTTCCAAAAAGAATTACCTCAAGAACAAGATGACCAGGTGTCCAGAGAATCCACTATCGAACATATATAGCTGCGATATAGCTTTTTCTCTATATAATTCCGTGTCAGCATCGTTAGGAAAAAAGAGCAATGGCACTACATCCCTAAATTTTAAGTTCAGAATAAGAATCTAAATTTGGATATTATCGTAGATGGACAAATTTTGAAAAAAATGAGTGAGAATGTTTCATGCTTACTCGGGTACTTTGGCACGCAATTTTTCGATGATATCACAAGCCGTCCCCACAGAGGTGTCATAATTTTGGAGAACACACAGGTTGGAGAGAGCCTGGAAAGCGCGGACATTTACCTCGTTTATACAACGATGATGTTTGCATATATCGAGAAAAACACAAAATAACTCTTTGTTTCTTCCTTAACACCTAATTTTATTGGTAATTTATTCAGTGCAGGTGTTGCCAATTTTGAATAAAACAAGTTGCAAATTTTTACTGTACAGTCTGAGTCATTGTCATGTTCCCTTTTCGTAGCAAATACGCAGACGCGTCGCAAAGGCCTTGCTTGTGGTCAACTGGATTTTTTGCGGCACATCAGATTCTGGCTAATGGACACATGCGTCGAAATATTTCTAACGGCATTTCAACCGCAAATTAAAAAAACCTTCATGGTGGTAGCCCAGCTAGTTACACTTGACTTGTTATAAAACGAAAACAATCATCTGTTTTAGATCAGGTTTCTCATGGAAAAAAGTTTGAAAAATGACGATTAAAATACACGGCGTAAGCTTTTCAAATTCAAGGTTTCTGAGTTGAGAGATTACCTGACAGTCCATTTCACTTCCAGCAATACATCTTGATGATGTTCCATCTAATAGCTTTTCCAGCAGGGAAGATTTTGCAAGATATCCCGATAGTAGTCGGATATTGGTGTCCAGATAAGGTGACAAAGGCGTAGATTCGCACAAAGACGGGTATAACTATAATTTGGCTTTTATCGGAGCATTTTGACAAGTAAATAGCACTGCGTACCTTGCAGAAGCATTCCAAAGTGGAACATGGCACGCAAGCGGTCCCATCAGCATTTGGCAAAGTGCCTATAATAACAGACTGTGTCGGGCTGCCTAGAGTTGCTCGTGCTACCGCCGTTCCAGCGCCGTGCAGGCAGCGTGCGGGATACAGGCGATGCCCATCGGCCAATATGAAGTACGCTCACGTGAATTACTGCTCGGTGTCAGACGGCGTTTGCACGGCCCTGACACGACGCTGGCACGACGCGGCACATGGCAACTCTAGACGCATGCTAGCTGTGATGAGGAGAATAAATCGTAACCATACCGTTTGCACACATTTCACACTGGTCACGATATTCTTCTGTTGTATTGAGTGATCGTGCTACGGAACCGATAACTGTGCCATCCGGGTTACGGTACGTGGATATGGATCCTTCGGGGCAACATGGTGGTGATGGACAAGGCATACATTCTAGCCCATTGGGAGAGCTGTAGAGTCCTGAACGTGGTTTGTTCACTACAATGACGAAAATTTTTTCTAGTATAATGGAATCTCTCTATGAAACGAAGCATCAATTTTATATATTTTAATAGAAAATGTTAGAAAAAGAAATCAAGCTACAGAAAGTATTATACAAAAAGGATGATCGGAAGAATCAAATGAAAGGAGATCGTTCTGAAAAAAAAAATACCGGAAACTATCTCTGACTTACCAGTCGGACATGCATGGCATTGGATTCCTGTTGGTGTAATCAGTTCAATGACTGAACCGCTGGGACAGCGGCATCCATTCTTTAAAGCATTTGGGACTGTTCCGCTTCCGCAAGGTTCACAACTGTAATGTGAATTCTTGACATACATCTCATTAAAAATATTAGTCACGCCATATCAATCTTTCCATGAACAATATCCTTGCCTGCACAATTTTTTCCAAAGAGCCCGAACAGAACAATTTTACAGGCAAAATAAGCGACCATGCAGTTAGTGAGTACATTTTGCTACTTTAGCTGTGCATGATTTTCTTAAGATTTTTTCTTACAAGGCTTGCAAAATTGGAAACGGAAAAACCATGAAGCTTGCAAAACCCTGCGGAAGAAAAACTCAAAAAAAATTCACATTTAAGCGAAGAGAAAAAGCACAACTTTGTCGAGTGAACATGCTTTATTGCAGTAAAGTCATCTCAAAAGGAATGTGTATTGCGCAATTTGAGCTCTAATCCACGGCATTTGTGCTCATAAGCTGTCAACTGGCGAGAATTTTGATATTTTCCCTCTTTTTTGCGCAAAGATGAGAAGATATTCTTTCCTCAACAGTTAAATTCATCATGATAAATGTTCACTGTTAGTAGGTAGTCTTAGAATGTCGCGAGCAGCATTTTCACATTTTATTTCACAAATGACTCTACTGCATACAAAAAAAGCTAAATCGACAGACATATTCTACTCGTCGGAAGAGATTTATATGCTTGAAACAGAAGTACTAAAGTGAGTGTATCAAATGTCTAACTTTTTTTGCTTAAAAAATCGCTACAGTAAGACAGTAGAATATATTGATTTTTGGTGTCACACACATGATATGGTTTTAAATATGAAGTTATTAGGTTTTTTCGTGTTGTAATTCTCTATTTTTGCTTTTTATCTCACTGCATACTTAACAAAGTCAATTTTCCGCAAAAACGTTCACTGATTGACTCGTCAAGCTCACCTCATCGTCCGCGCATTGAAATACTGTGTGTCGGTACAGTTCCGTTCCGTTTGGTAAGGTACAGCAAGAGTCTGTGCATACTGTCCATTGCATACATAAAATATAGCGAATAAAAGCAAAGCAGTTTTGACTCGTGGCATAATATTTGGTGCTAGAAGGTGAGTCTTCGTGGAAGGTAGCGTTGTGGTCGCCATGGTTACCGTTCTACGTGAGCACGCATATTTGAAACATTAATTACAACTCCTTAACTGCGAAAATGAAATCGCATGCAATTTGAAATACTCGATTATAGGAACAACACTTGCTCTTAACGATTATATCACGTCGTTCCGAAAGTAATTTCGTTTTTTGAAACTAGCCTAACATCTCGCAGGACAAACATCTTCGAAAGATTGTGGGGGAGCATTTGATGCAGCTTTTCATTCTCTTCGAAATGGCTATGATTTCACTGTAGACTAATCAAAGATCTCTCGGAAAATCGACGAAGACACTATGTACTACCTTTGGCTTTTGCCATGGCCAAATTTGCTATTTTTCTAGATTTTTGTACAAATATCGGATAATCGTATGGATATAGCAAACCCTAAAGTATACAAAACAATTCTTCCTCCTTTCTGTAAGTTGTCAGGTATCTCTAATGGAATTGTACACGATGTTACCAACCCTACTTGGTCATCTCAAACCTCGTAAAACATCAAACGGCGAACGGCATGAGTGTCAATCGATGTGGCTTTTTCTTTTCTTTCAATCAGGTGTTTTTTGTTCCAATTCGCGGTGTTTTCAGGTCAAAATCATGTGATATATGTTTTCGAACGCTCTCCAAGATGTACCCAAAAAATTCGAAATATGATATCTAAAATCCGTAAATGTTGCTTTGTAAAATGGGTGGAGGAACGAACACTTCAATTAGGCACTTTGCGGACGACTGGTCCTAACACGATGCACAAAGTAGAACGAAAGGACCAGCAGTCCGCAAAGGCGGTGCCTAATTGTGGTAGGTGGATAGCTCGTTGATTAATCTGCAGTGCAATCGTAACCATTTAAAAAGGATGAAAAATTGCATTGAAAAATCTTTCGAAGATATTTGTTTTGCGGGTGTAACGCTCGTTTGCAAAAAGCAAAGATCAACCTAATACTTTTGCTTTCTCCGATGTGCGCCTAAAATTGCGCTAAATAGCTTTAGTTACACTATTGGGATTTACATAATTTTCATAAATAACATATGACGTATGCTTTTTTTAGAGACGATTTCAATTCGTTAATTTGAATGGCAGAGAAAAAGCTCCCACTATAAAAAATCCTTTGGCTCGTGAGTAACGTATAGTGTGGGCCCCGACCAGCTTCCCATAAGTACTTGCGCGACGCACCCGCAACGCACGCCTTCAGTGCGTCTATGGTCCTAGCTTCTGATGGAAATCCTCCTTTCTCTCTTTTTTTTTGTTTTTGGTGTACTATATTCTGTCTATCTCAGATACAAACAATTCGCGATGACCGGTGACGAGATTTCACGTGCTTTAATAGTTCTAAGAGCTTCAGTCTTGTGTAGTAGTCTTGTGTTTTCCCTTTTTTCTCTGGAAAATTGAGATTTGATTGGATATTAAGATAATACTCTTTCAAAAGCTTCTTGTATAAAATAAGAGTCCCATTCGGTTTGATGTGTAAGGTGTAGACAACATCTCAAGTCAAAATTGAGCCTTTCGAGAAGCCAATAGACATTTCTTTACAGAAATGTCCCCTTTTTTCTAAATCTTTGACCACTCTAGTGTCTACATCTATGAAGAGGAATGTTTTAAGAATCCTGTTGTTCTATAATTGCTCTACGTATACCTTATTACAACCTATTTAACAGTGTAAGTTCGGAATATGCATCCCTTGGTTGAATTTGAGGTACTCATGGAGGTTGCCTGCGTTTCATTCTTGCATACGTCTCTTTCGAAGTGAACCCACCCAGAGGTTTCCACTTTACATTTTTCTCCTTTGAGAGCATAAATATGCTCTACTGCTCATGAGTGAGGCGAAAGGCATTGAGAAAGGCGCGCGCTGCGTGCGCGCTGCGGAAGTACCTATGGGAACCTGGCCGGGGTCCACACTATACAATACACGTCATTTGATTCAACGCTGCGGTGCAAGAACGCGCAAAAGTGCACAATAAAGAAGTCAAAATAGGATAGAATCTACGGAAAGCTAATAGCGGCTAAGAAACTAGGAAATTAACAGGTAGGTTTCTTTTTCCCTTTTGAATTTTTCTTCTTCGAATCTTAATAGACGCTCAAGGTGAGAATTGTTTTTCCCATACAAAGAGTGGGAAAGTCAGCTGCGTATCTATGGCTACTTAAAGGCAGTGTCCGGGCAAAAGGTCAATTTTGAGATTTTGTGCTTACTCGGTCCTATTCGCTATGCTGAATCCGAAAATCCACATTAGAAAGCTCGAAAACGGCGAAGAAGAACTCTAACGCAGGAGGGAAATCAGAAGTGGGCGGGGTCTTCCCCACTGCGGATTCACGCTCCAAGCTTCCGGAGCGATCTTCTCGGTCCCGATTTCAAGTCATGCGTTTGCACCTGGCCTGTGGAGATCTCAGAGGGCTAGCGGAGTTGAGAAAATCGCTTCAGAAGCCGGGGCCGCGAAATTCACATTGGGGAAGACCCCGCCCACTTCTGATTCCCCTCCTGCGTTAGAGCCCTTTTTCGCCGTTTTCGCGCTTTCCAATGCGCATTTTCGGATTCAGCGTAGCTAATAGGCCCGGGTAAGCACAAAATCTTAAAATCGAGTTTTTGCCCGGACACTGCCTTTAATCCCAATTTTTACAAATTCACTCAAAGGTCAACGGGTTAATTTTTCTTTCTGCTATTTTCACAGTTCAAGATAAACTCTGTTCTTTTCTACTTTTCAGATCTATACGGCCTTTTGCTACAACTGCCCAAGGAATGGAAAAATTCCAAGAGTCTTCAGATCTTGTTGTGCCGTTCTAAGGACAATGACCAATTCTCTTGAAGGATTTTAATCAGATCGTATCTTCGCTCGAATGGCGGGGCCACTGCGGAAGGGTGGAACTACTGAAACACCGAGCAAGCTCTACCTCCGAATGGTGAGGATGTGTTGGTCGAGTCATTGCGTTGGGCGATTCCCATGTCCACCGGCAATGCTCTTTGTTCATAAAGGTGGAATTTCCATAAAAAGTCATGCAGTGGAGAGAAACCCAACGAAGGGGCTGTCTTTTTTGCTCCGAAGCTAGCATCCGCATTTCTCAATCCTTGGTTCTCTTCTCCTGGCGTTTCATTTTTGAGTTGAATTCGCCCACAACATATTTATCGAAGGATCTGCCGTTGCGGACAATCTCCTTCACTTCCTCGTAAAAAGCATCCAGTTGTGATTCGTCAGCTGCCGATGTCGGGGAGTAGCAGTTGATGATGCTGGTAGTCTTTTGTCGTGGAAATCGTTGTGGTAAGATGGCTAGTCAAGGAGGATTTTATGCGAGACAAGATGACCGATAGATGCGTGGACGACAAAGCCAACGCCTCCAATGTTTCGTGATGGATCTTTCTTACCACTTTCTCACCACTGACTGTCGTGGCGTTGTAGGCGCAGTGTAAAGGCAGTCTTTATGGCGCTCGTTCGAGAAGACGTGTCGTTTTTGTTTGATCCAAAAGACGCCCTGAGGACTCTGACATCGTTCTTGCTACCACACGCGGCAGTAGGCGGAATTCGGCAAGATTTTTTCTTCTTCTTGCTGATCGAGTGACGAAATTTTCCTTACAAGGGTAGACTTACTATGTAGGCCTACTCTTGAGTTCCAGAGGAATCAGCAACCTCAAGTTTTGAGCGGGACGTTTAAGCGATTAGGAAGCCAGACGGCGGGAGATAGCCTGTCACCTCTTAACTAGGCATCCGTCCAAAACTGGCAATGTCAAATTCCTTCACAGATTTCGTTGCGTTTATCCACAGAAGTTGCAATTTTTCAGATTTGATTTATTAATGTAATTTATAGACACGCGGTAGTCATCTTCTGCGAGCGATAATCATTTTTTACTTGGAGGTTTTTTACAACTCGCCGATATGATCCTTATATTTAGTAAATCAAGGTATCGAAATCCACTTCCGTCAGGTATACATTGCTACTATGCTTGGAAAATTTTTTATTGATGGTGTGATTCAGAAAATTATTTAAACCCTTCAATGGTATCCAAAGCAAGTATTGATTATTCCATGTGTACTTGTTTCCGTGAGGATGTAACTCAGAACACAATGTGGCAGCATTAAAGAAAACATCGTAGAATAAATATCTTTACACCAGTGCTTCCCTGTCTTTTCACTCCCAAATATTGAGTCTGTTGTGTCTCATTAGCTCAGTTCATTTCGATATGAGATTGATTCGTTTTTAGTTTGATTCTCACAATATAGGAATTGAGCAGTGCGTTTGTTTTAGGCTGAGAAACCATGGTATGGATCTACAGACGAAGTATTCATCATAAGCTTACTTTGTCATATTGGTATTGTACAAATTATCACAACACACAACACACAGAAATAAAATTACTTGCAAGAGAATATCATAAATGCAGATCAAACCTATTATTCCATCAAGAATACTGATTTTTAGATATGAAAACGAATTTTATTATTTCCCTCAAAAACAAAAATGCTCCGATAAGATAACACGCCTAAGGCATCTTCTGAGATCGCAGTTGCAGAGATCTTCAAATGCAAATCTTGAGATGATAATCTTCATAAAACTGCTTATGTTCAACATAGTTTTAATGATGGCCTTCCTTTGAAGAATTATGATGTTTATCATTTGTATGTTGTAAACCCTCTCTTACCGCTGCTAACCCAATGGGCTTTTTCCTGAAAGATTGTTTTGTATTATCTCAAAAGCAGACGAATTTGATGCTTACCGTAACCTAATTAGAGACAAGAATTGATGTCTAAATAGATCATGAAAGGCAAAATTCATGATTGTGTTGGCTATGGATAGGAATCTGCAATAATGACATTAGTAATTAGGTTCAGCCTTACAGTATCATTTGGCTGATTAACTTAGGTTGACACATAAGTTTTGCAACATAGTCCATGACTTTTCTCTTCTTTTGTGTAGCCCACTCACTCTCGATATAATGTAGATTAGATAATGTGCTACGAACGTGCATAAAAGTTTTGTTTCTGGTGGCGAAATGGCGAAATTTTGCACATTTTCTAAAGCCGTTCAAATCAGATGTTTCACTGTGCCAAAGCCTAAAATTAAGCCTTCTCAGCCTGCATCAGACGCATCAAAAGAAACTATACAGAGATGGTTGCTACATAAACTCTAACAGTCTTTTTGCAGTTTCGATTCGATGCGTTTGATGCAGGTTGAGAATGAGTTGATTCAGGTTTTTAGCCTTATGAAATCTTTGATTTGACCAGCTTTCGGAAAATGCGCATAATTTTCCCATCTCGCCACGAGAAACAACGGTTTTCGCAGATTTGTAGCTGATTAACTATCTACATAATGCTAAAAAGTAAGGGCGCTACATCCAAGAACAGAAAAGTTAAAAAACAAGTTGCAGAACTTAAGTGCCAACCTAAAGCTTTCACGGCCTTTGTTTACTAATCGTATCGTACTCAATAATTCATCAGAAATCAACAATCACTAAAACTAACCCAGGCATGGCGTAAGTCAAGGCCACAATAATATCATTGAAGGCAATGGTTGTCCTTGATTTACAAATCATAACGAAAGATGGAAGAGACATGAGTAAGGTGGAAGATAGGGCTATTGACATCCATAGTCCAAGATTGTGTTTCCGGCCCAAGACATTGCCAGTCGTAAGTCTCTGAAGTGGAAAATTTCTTTGATAGTGAATCAGGGGGTTTTGCATGTTGCATGCAGTGGCGCGGATTTTTTTATCCATCAATGAAACTGGTGATGCGTAGTGTGCTACAAACAACAATGGCACAGGTTAATCCCAATTTAACTGCACTTAGCTCTAGCTGCTTAGCGAATCACGATTACTTAGTATGAATTTCAAAACGGAATCATTTCAAAAAATTTTGAGCAACAAAAATATTCTATGGGTGAAAGATTGAATATTCTATGGCTGTCATAAAAGAATTGTGAGAAAATTAAAGCGCGTTTAAAAGCGCAGTGATTTAGCAGGTAAGCGCGCTTTGAGTCCAACTCATGTCTACCCTTTTGAAATCTGTGGTGCACCAGTCATCGCTAACAAACCTTTCCAATTCTCCAAGCAACAAAGAATGACAGAAACGACACAAAGAAAGCGGCAACAACTATGACAAAGTGGAATGTGGAGTACCTGCAAATGAAAAATGATCCGTAGGATTTTCAATTGGAAAATGTTCTTTTAAGAGGAAGGTATCCTCACCATTTTCCTGTGCTGTCTATGATAAAGCAATGACGAGAGTTTACCACTCTATCGCGGTCATTATAAGCAGATAACCAGGCAAACATAAGTGAGATCTGAACATAAAGTTTTTACCAAGCTTCAAATGTCACGTCAGCTGCTATAAGCATATCACAGGACTAAGAAATTCTTGCCATTCGCTTCTCTGTATTGAATCTGTAGTGAAGAAGCTATGGACCTGGCCGCGGCATCTTTGCTGCTTTTTATGGGGACAACTGTGGTAAAAGCGAAAGGAAAAGATTTTGTGCTTTTAATTTTGTACAAGGTCAGCAAAATTCTGCAAGGGAAGGATACTTGTGACCGTGGCCTTTTGAGATGAGACGTAACCATTGAATGCATCTTAAAGCGCTGATTCTACTCTACCAGAAGAGCTTATGAATATGTTTTGACTGTACATTGTTTTAATGGCTGACGATATTGTCAAAATGCTCACTTACGTACACAAAAAGCGTCCAGTTGACAAGCTTTACGTTAAGTTCAGAAAAACTGTTTACGATATTTCTAACTTTGAAAGCATGAATAGCCTGAATACTGACGATTCCGACTGCCTAGATGTCATGAACAACTTTGAATAGTAATGCACGATAGCTTCAAATTTGCCTTTATTTGTAAAGCGCCTCAGGACACCGAGTATCAGGTTGTTATATAAATGTTTTCTTACACTTTTCTTCCTCCTCGAAAATCTCTAGAAAAATTTGGCAAGTTTTCATATTTGGCAAATATGGGGAAGAGGTAGAGGGCTGTTTACTGGTACCATTTATGCCTTTACAACATGACTTACGTAATTATAAGAGTAACATTATGTGGGCATTCTTACCTCCATTTTTTTCCTTTATATTTCAAAAATCCTCTTATTCTTCTTTTCCATCTTTTAGATTTTTATGACTTTGGAAGCATTAGCAGTAATACTAAAATTGTCTGAAAGTCTTGTCGTCAACAAGTAAAGAGTATTATATTGTATTTGTATTGCATTATTATTATATATTGTATTGTATTGCAAGTATTTGCCAAAAATAATATACAGGGTGTCCGTAAAGTAAGTATACACTGTTTGATCTATAATATCTCTTTTCCCAAGAAGTCTTTTGCCTTGCTTCAAGTACCATTTTGTAGAGCTGGCTTCAACTTAGATTTACAGTATGAAGCGAATCATCGGTCGCTCTTTATTACTGTAGGATTACGGTAAAAAATTCAAGAAGGGTTGTGAGCCATCAAAGACCCTATCTCGCCTCAGAAAGCAAGCCAAACAACCACAAAACTTTTATACTAGGGCATATGGAGCCGTTGAAACCAGACATGATGTTTGCACTTCACCGCAATGCTTCCTTCATAAGTTATGGCAGGTAAACCGCAATGTCTGTTCTTACAAGACTCCATAAAACCGTGATTACACCATTTTAAAAACTTTGAAAACTCGTAAAAATTTGAATAATAAAATCAACGAGCTTGAAAACCCTAGTACACAACTTTTCAGGTTTTTTGGAAACTTTTGTTTAAACACGGTAAATCCGTAATGGCGCTATAAGCTGAAAGTTCCTACCGTAATTTTACAGTAATGAAGAATGACCCGTGATTCGCTCCATGCTGTAAATCTGAGTTGAAACCAGCTCTACAAAATGGTTGTTAAAGCTAAGCAAAAGACTTCTTGAGAAAAGAGATATTGACGATCAAACAGTGCATACATACTTTACGTACACCCTGTATATCAAAAATCTGCAACACCACACATAAATCGGAAGTAAGGAAAAATCATTTGACAAAGTTATAAGGATTTTTTCAGTCGAGTGTAACGAAACTTATATAACCTAATATTTCCGTTTTTGGAACGAAAAATGAATGCAGAATTTAGGTGTTAGTTGTCACAATCTTTCCAAGCTCAGATAAAGCAATTTTGGCATTAGCATATTAGACAAAATGTATCCATTGCATGAACTGCTCTGATACTCGATACTGACCATTTGAGCAAATTTGACCGATTCTATTCCCATTTTGCGCTCATTTTTTTGACTTGAATAACGCTCATAGCGCCCATAATTGGGCATTCAGAGGCGCTTGGCATATAACGAAGGCAGATTTAAAATCACTCTGCAGTACTCTCCAAAAGTATAGGTCTTATCTGAAAAGATCACTTCGACTAAACACGCTTCCCTTGTTAGTTTGGAGAGCCGCACAACTAATAAATATAGATTTGGAATCAGCGTTTCAAGGCGCATCTACCGGTACACCTAACCGCAGCCACGGTCATCAACTATAACTTCCTTCTGAGACCTGCGACGATATCCAAAAGAATAGTGCATTGTTGTTTTGTAATCTATTCTTTACGACTGTAAAAATTTGTGATGATCGATGTTCCGTTTGAGGCTCTGCGTGATCGGTGAGTTTGCGGCCATTGCACGCGCAGAATGCTACACGGCCTCAATCAGTTGTGAACAATCCTGTACTTTTCAAAATCGTTCCAGGTAACGGGAAGCTAAGGAAGCTTCCGCTCCGCTCCGGTTGTTCTTTTTTTTCTGTTTGTTTTGTGCCTGCCTTTCGCTTGTTATAGGTTGGTTTTAAAGTGAAAGTTTCGAATAATAGTTGCTTTAAGGAGAAAAAAAACATCGTCTTGAGGACAGATGAGTATCGCCTACACTCAACTGGAGTTACAAAGTGGACTGTTCATTGCTTTTTTCCAGTTTTTATCGAGCTCAAGTTTTGTGTTGGGAGAGATGCGGTTTAGAAAGCTGCATGCGACTTTGTAGAGCATTTGTGCAAAACCATGATGATGGCTTGATACAAGCATGGAAAAACCGCATCACTTACAACAAACATGGAATTACCTACTTGTGGTGTTCTTCGCTACTTTTTATGTCGCTTTTGTGTGGTTCAAGTTTTATGTTTGTTGTAGGCGATGCGGTTTTCCCATGCTCACGTTCATCATAATTTATTCGCCGAATGCTCTTTAATATCGCATCCAGCTTTTCAAACCGCATCACTCACAAAAGCATAAAACTTGAGGTTAAAGGTAGTGGCTCGGCCAGGGCCCGGCAGGAGGTGGCATTTCAGAATTTTGAAAACGATATCACCTTCGAAGCCAAAATTTCTTACGACTTCCCCTTTGACCCTGTTTTTGACCCCCGTAAGTCCCTGACAAACAGATATACACAAATAATGGGCGGCCTCAGCGCTTATTATAGTAGTACTATCTGGCTTTCCTGGTCCAGCCCGGGTCATCAAGGTTTCAGCTCAATGGGTTCATCCGCAAAGGAATCTATAAAAAAACATAGGGTCAAGATTTGCACAAACTTTGACGATTGTATATCTAAGATACTACTCATTTATTAGTCAGCTGCGAAACTTTACAATTTACAATAACCGATTGCGATTGGAGCGCGCTTTCCGAGGCCGGTCATAACGCTGTGAACCCTATTTGGGGCTGTGTCGAAGCGGTGCCTGGTGGTTTTGGAAGCGGATTTGAACATGTAGTAATACTCTCGACCTAGTCCACATTTATGTAAAGAAATCCGGAAAATTATGTGAAGGGAAGCAGGAAGCCACCCCAGGTGGCTCCCAGGTGGTGAGGGAGCCACCTAATTTCGAAAAACACTTACCATTTTTTAAATTCACATAAGTTTCTCATAATTTTTCATACTTTTTTTTGTGCTCATGGTCCTCCAGCTACACAGCAAATTTGGTGCCATATCGTTACTTGTGCATTGAAAACGAGCCTATTTTGTTATTTTCTTCTTACAAGAATCGCGATTTGAATTCCCGCCTGCGGGCAGGCTAGCGATCGGAGCACAGAATCTTCACATTGCTGGCTAAATAGGACAGTAGCATCAACAAGGAATGATGAATAAAGAATGATATGTGCATTGTTTATCGGTAAACAAAGGGGAAGTCCGGAACTCCGCCCCGGACCCCAAAATACGACTTCCCCTTTGCTTTTTCGGGCCAAAAACGATATCCAGCTTGTGAAAGCGCCACCCCCGTTGGGCCCTGGGCTCGGCAATTCCTCGATTTTTGGTTTTTTCGCTTACCTAGGGTAATTCGAATCATTCCGTAAATCCACTTTTTAGAGCACGAAAATGTGTAAACCAGCATTTTGCAGAGTCGTTGTGGGGCCCTCATGTTTATAGCAATACGGCTTGCCCGTCTGATGGCGTGAGGGTTATCGCGAGCTCGTCCGAGCGTGTAAGAATGGCTTACGCGCACGAGTTTAGGGGCAATTTTCTAGGCAGGGTTTGCATGCTGTGCGCTCGGACCTGCTCCATTGTCGTGTTTGGGGTGCAAGCAACGTCCCTTATTGAAATTTCGAGATGTTCGATTTTGCCGAGCCACTGCCTTCAATAAAAACTGTAAAAAACGCAATAGCAGTCCTGTTTATAACTCCAGGTGAATGTAAGAAATACGTTGCGCATTTGTACCCAATGACGATGTTACAAGTCTTAGAGGAGCCATTAAGAGATTTGTACTTCAGAATCAGCTTATAAGAGAAAAATCAAGAAGTGTAAAAAAAGAACAAAAAATGGATTGATTGACGAATTTTCGCTCCGCATGCATGCTAGGGAGACAATGTCTTGACCTACTGCGCTTCAGCTGCAATGGCGGCATCGGGCGCGAAAGCGGTTAACGGCTGCAAAAGCGGCAACCCATTTGCTCTAGAAGCTCCCTAACACCTGATGACAGAAAAGCATTTGGGAGAAAGATAGCTGAGCCCACTCCGCGTGTAACGACCGCAAATTCACCGAATCTCGCGATCACACAGAGTCCTATAGCTAAGTTCGGGGTTTGTGATCAGTATGTATTAAGAACTGATTCTTTAATTCAATATTTTCAAAGTTTGATTACAAAACCTTCTTTTTTCAAAGTGAGTAGATTTTATTACATCATAGAGGTCTTGTGAGTAAATTTTTTAAAGTAAAATTTGACACTATATACGGAGCTGAAACTGTTCACATCGGCTCTAACTCAATTAACAAAATACAATAATGATGTTACACTTACCAGAGCCGCAGCGGGAACAGTCAATATTAGCAGATATTTGTACGTTTGGTGAAAAAATCGCTTGTAATATATAGGTAAAAGAACAGCGAAGAAGCGTTCACATGAGATTAAAATCATCATATACGCAGGAAGTTCCGTGCCAATTATCAAAAAATGGGGCCAGTATTTCTGAAAATTATGCAGGTAGCAAGAAGGGGTATTTTAGAAAAATACAAACCTGGAAAAAGCAGTCGCCTACAGTGGTTTGCATAAACAAAGTTCCGTGCTCAAGCTCATAGCCTCGGCCATATCCCACTAGTATGAAACTTATTGCTGAAATTTGTGACTCTTAATAGCATGTCGCCAGCGGATAATTAGTTGAAATTTACCATTGATAACTTCTTCTATGTTTAGTGCGATGAGGTAGATCAATCTTTGCCTAAGTTCTTTGCTAGAAAATAATATGACTAGATTAACAGTATTACAAGCTGCTGCAGCGATACCTGAATCTATTGTTTTGAGTATATGTCCGACAAACTTCCGGTACTTCTATATATATCTGGTCCCCCTTCCGCAAAAAAGATATACGTAGTGTAGAAAATGTGAAACAGCTTTTTACGAGGCTGTTGTATAGACGTTTATCACCCAGAATGACCCCTCCTGAATACCAAGCCCGCCTTAAGAAGCTTCAAATGGAGTCTTTAACGCATCGGCGGATATTTTCGAATCTTGTATTCTGCTTTCAAGTTCTGAGGAAAGAGAACAAACTAAAAGCTAGCAAGTACTGGATTTCTGTTCCTACCAGTGAAAGGATTGGTTCCTTCAACCTGCAATATCCAAGGATCTGTCGCAGAAAATACCTATTGATGTTCAATAACGTTTTTTGTACGGGAGCTAGGTGGCTTTCGCGTCTCCCTGTTGATACCACTAGTGCAGATAGTAGCCATATTTTCAGGAGTAGACTAAGAAGACTTCACTTGTCAAGTATCACTGAAATTGATTAGCGTTGCCTAACAGTCAGCGCCTTTTGTATCACAGATGCTGGACTTGTACTCTATTTGCTTGGGATGTGCTATACAGCTAAGTTGCAGATAAATCTCTAATATAGGCTTTCTATCACATTTTCTTCCAAGTTTCATCTTTAGAAACTGCCATTTCAGGTGCTCTTTGGCCCTTAGGATTATCATCGCGCAATTTTCTCAGAAGTTCATTGAACAGCTAAGAAATACGGATTTGATATTAGTGCCCAAAACCAGCGTAACGATATGCATTACGTGAGGAAACCGACTTCGATGTCCTTCCTTGTTAGAAAAATAACAGTGTAACACTAATTTTTGCTTGCGATCGTCATTCTAGAGTGACTGACTGCTTTTACTTTTTGAGTAATGCATTACAATAGAATAAGACATTTTGATCAATTTCGCGAACTCCTAACTTCTACGTGAAAAGAAAAGGAGCTACAAGCCTACAAATAGGGACACAATTCTGTTTGTGGCCACTCTTCAGACAAATTTTTCCTTCAAAAAGCGATTACTGACCGTTATTAATATATTTCGAGCAACAGTGCTCTAATTTTGTCCCCGCAAACACATAGCGAGATATTCTGCTCTTCTTTCTCTTTTATTCGGCACTCGACTGTAGCGAATTAGCTAGCATCCAAAGATTTGCTTGCCAATTACTTTTTATCTATCTAGCGGCCAAAAGTCACATTAGAGCGGAGTGATTCTCAGCTCGTAAAGCTGCATGCACTAACATCCCCGCTGAGGAGGAGATCGAAAAAAGCTTCATAACCTAAAGCACCAGATATCTGGCTACTACGCCATATAACCTATCCGTAGGTATTTTCACCACCCCTCATTATGAACATATTGAAGAAGCTGTACAAGCTACACTTTCCATCCTTTTGTATAATCCCCTGATGATCCCCGGCTGTCGACCGTCTTTTTTCCAAAGTAGCGATGAACCACAAGTCGAAAGTTGACATTTATTGAATTGATGTTCCAAAAACTTCGGCAAGATGCTTAGCACTGTTGGGTTAGACGAACTATAGTACTTTGGGAGTTTTGTTAACTTTGAAGAAAAAAATGATTTTGAAGAAAAGACGGTCGACCATCAAAGATTATCAGGGGATCAAACAAAAGGCTGGAGGATGCGGTTTTACAGCTTTTTGCGCACCAGATATCTGGAGCTTCAGGTAAAGCTTTTTTTGAGCTACGCCCCTCCTTGGCGTGGATGTTAATGCATGCGGCCTTTAGAATGTCTGTGATAAAATGTGAGCAAGCTAGGTCAAAGACATAATCTTCTAATTTCATAGGCACTTATGAATGGCAAGACATTTTCAGGTTACTCTAGAGATGGTTTACCTAGGAGATTGAATCAGAACTGCCTGAAAGCTAAAGTATTTGATTTTTTCATACATCTGGCTCACCTAAAAATGTGTAAAATGTGCACATAAACGCTGCTCCACCATATCGTTCCCAATCGTCCATGAAGGATATGTAGCTGGTTTGGGTACACTTTCACTATAAGTTGACCTGAAAAAAGTAATAGCGCAAAGATGTTGTCTTTTCTCTACTGTGGAAAACCAAACGAAGATACATTTCTGCCAGTTTTGCTTTTTGGAAGCTAGGAACCTGTAAAGACAAAGCTGAATGTCTGTCTGTGTGTATGTATGTATGTATGCCTGTATGCGTGTCTGTACGTACGTTACGAATAGAAGCTTTTATTTCTGAACTGTACTCGTAATCAGTATGCTCACTTACCCCCCCCCCCCCCCTCCCTCCCCTCCGTGCCATTTCCCAGCCTTGTAGCTCAATCTTTGCAAGAAAAAAAAGTATAAAATCGATATCGATTGCAACGAAAAGTAGCCTACGACATCCGCCCCGTCAGTGTATGTGCGCAAAGTTTGGTTGGATTAGTTCAAAAATAAAATTTTCTATTCGGAGTATATGTACACACATACAGACAGACAGACAGACGTACAGACATAAAGACAAACAAATTTTCAGAAGATTCTATCGTTTTTTGCAAAGTTTTACCAACGCGGCCGGGAGTTGGCACAGAGAGTAAGTGAGCATGAAAATTACGAAAATACTAGATTGGCACGAAAGTTCTTGCGCACGATTTTCAAAAATTCATAACTTCTGATTTTTCCAACCGATTTGACTGTTTTTATTTTTATGTGAAAGAATAATTCATGCTCTTTGTAATGACACCTTAGCTGCTTACTAGTGAACATTTCTTGCATAGATAGGAGCGGTGGAAGAAAATCCAGTCAAAATTCGAATTTTCTATGTAGGGTCATAAAAAATCGGAAACTTGCAACAAAAATTGGAGCAGTCAGTATTGTAGGTTCTTTTGCCAGCTCTTTCTAACGGCGCAAAGTTTGCACTGATTGAGCGTCTCAATGAAAAGTTATGATTTCTCCGAAAAATGCCAAAATAAATCAAATTCGCCATTTCCTATTGATTGCTCGAAAATCGTAACTTTTTATAGAGACGCTCAATCGGCGCAAACTTTGCACTGTTAGAAAGAGCTGGTGAAAGAACCTACAACACGGACTGCTCCGATTTTTGTTGCAGGTTTCCGTTTTTTATGACCCTACACAAAAAATTCGAATTTTGACTGATTTTCTTCTACCGCTCCTATCTATGCAAGAAATGTTCACTAGTAAGCAGCTAAGGAATCATTACAAAGACCATGACCTATTCTTTCACATAAAAATTAAAACAGTCAAACCGGTTGGAAAAACCAAAAGTTATGAATTTTTGAAAATCGTGCGCAAGAACTTTCGTGCCAACCTAATATTATTGACAAAGACGGGCAAAGCCGGGTTTGCCAGTTTATTATAAATGAGAAATTTTTATGATGTGTTCCTCGTAATCCAGCTCAGAGGGACAACATCGTGTATCACAGTAAATAATGATTGAAGAGAGATCACGAAGCGCAGAGAGCAATTGGTGATGGAAAAATGTCAACTAGTAACGATACAATATATCCCTCCCCCCATCATCGGCGTTTGGTTCTTGTCGTCGCATCATATAATTTATCTCATTTCCGTTCACGTCCTTGCAGCGTTTTTTCCATAGTCATTGAAACTCTAGATGGATAGCGAATGACAAAAGGATTCTTTGCATGCAAGCGAGGACTGTTATGCAAAATATATGTCTTAAATAGGAAAACCTTGGATGCTAGAACATTTAATCTACTGATAGAACATTAGTTACAAAGCTGATATTTGAGTTTTCGGATGCTTTTACGCCATAGTTGACGTTTCTCAGGATCAAATCAGGCAAAAGAGTTACAAACTGCTCTTGTACATGTGCAAGTTGCAGTTATTCAAGCAAGAAGATTAGTTTATGGCAAAGGGGCAACTTTTGCAATTATTCAATAACCTTGTTTCTCTTGTTTGTTGACAGCGTGTTGATACGTATGCGTCAATTGTATAAGCTATTACGTATTTTTTCTCTGTCTTAGAGCTTTGAGGCAAGTAGCTGATATGCAAAATAATGAAGCTCAGGAAACTGCTAGAAAAACACAAATGAGATAGGAATTTGCAAGAGTAAGATAGAAGTAAAGGAATTTCCAACGTTTGCTAATTCTTTTTGTGATTATACATCTGATATCCTTCTAAATCAGTTAGTACTTGAATTCTTGAAAAACTTATCATGTCTCTCATCGTGAACAATTTTATCTGACTTTCTATTGATTCTTTGCGATAATGGCTATGCTTATTGTATTAGGTTGGTGCAAAAGTAATGGCCGATTTGCGAATTCTCACTTTGACGTGCTATAACTTTTGGAAGAATTCACATTTCCGAATGCGGTAGAAATGCCAGAAGCAGCAAACCTTCCGCAATGCAGCGCACATTTATTTATACTCATATCACGAACGGGCAGAAAAATATGGATTTGCTAGAACCTTGTCTTTGACAATTCATATCTTCCTTCAAAGTTTGTTAGTATAAATGTTAAGTAGCCTATCTTGTAGCCGCAAGCCAGTAGTACAAAACGCAATAAAAAGAATTCGGACGGAAAAGTTTGCGAGAAAGAAAAAATTGAAATTTGAAATTTCTCACTTTTTTAAACATTTTTTCAGTGTGCCTCAAAGTCCCGAATATAGAATTTTTCGATTTTCTAGGTACTGAACAGCTGGATGTTTTTGCAAAAACTGCTAACAGGATGCCCTAGCCCTACGCTTACAGAATTGAGCAAAGCTCCGGCGATTGACTTCTTCAGAAGAAAATTATGGGTCATAAAATGACCGCAACAGCTACCCATGTTTAGGCGCCGATATCTCAGTCTGGATAGCCTCAAAGAACACAGTCAAGTATGCATAATGTAGAAAATTTCTAGTACATACAATAGCTGAATTTTCGAAGAACCCCCATTGATACGCGCTTGAATTCTGGCCGGAAAAGTGAATGCAATGAAATTCTGAATTTGGATGCAATTATTTGAAGCTCAGTAACTTTACAAGAGATAAGGTTGAGAGCCGAGCCCGTTTCAAGCACCTTTAGATAGAGCATGGAAACAGCTTCGCGATGGTATACTACATCCATTGTAAAGAAGAATTATTGATGGAAAAAAGTTGCCCTGAAAAAAGGCTTGGAAAATCGGCCATTACTTTTGCACCAACCTAATAATCAAGCCGAATTAGCCTCAAAAGTAATAGTTCGTACTAATCCTTTGACAAGAAAGCACCAAAGCTCCTCAAAAAAAGTAGAATAATGTTCAGTTTTCAATTATTTACTAAATAGAAGAAGAAAGGACTACAGCAATCTATCTAATCGTATTACAAGCCGCAAACGTGCACATTGGGGATCTCAAGTAATGTCTCATCAGTTTGAATAGCCTCATCAGTAGAAATATGTGTTTACTTCCACTATACACATGGAAAAGAGGCAGAGCAGAGTTTGCGTGATGATACTAATTGAGGCAATGTTTTTTGGCCGTTTTCGTCAGAAGTCTTAAGCTTTTCTAAGACTACCTCTTGGAATATAATAGAAAGATGTCAAAGTACCTACTTTTGGCAGTCACAACCCGCGATTCTTTCGCTCACTAAAAAATCAGTACAGAATGAATTTCGAATATACCATTGTAATATGAATACATAGCAGTTTACTCTAACAATAAGCATGGTGACTGTTCAAAAGCCCTTTCGTCTCCATCTCCAAAGAAAGAGCCAAATACACGAAACCTACGCTTAATATAATTTGTGAATGGTATTCAGTAAAAATCTTATCATAAGAAGGTGAATCGCTTGGTTAACTCGTCCACGTATTTAAGTAATATAAAAAATAATGCAACATAATCATTATATTTTCTGAATGTCGTCTAGAGTTCGTATCTGACATCAATACAGAAGTTTGCATAAGTGTTCAAGAAAATAGCAGAAGTTTTTATGGCTGCGGTCTTATCTGTTTGGTTTCAAGAATTTCTTCAGAGGGAGGAGGGTAGGCATCGACAACGCTTTCATAGATTTTTGGAACGGTTTCCAACTTTTGCTGGCCTATGACACCTATCCGAAACTTTTGTTGAAGCTAATTTGAATGTTCGAATACTTTTCAAAACTGTATCGACTATTTGCAAGTGAGACTCGTTCTCGCGGAAGGAACGGGTGGGGTTAGTACCTAATCTCTCTGAATATCCATTATAGAAGAGTTTTAGCTGCTTAATACCGAAGAGGGCAGCTTATGGTTCTGTTATGAGACAGCACTTCGATTTCAATGATTTGAAGCGGCACCTAAAGGATTAGAGTTGCAGATCTGTACAAACCGATGTTATCGTTGTCCTCCCGATGGACGGACAATTACGGACTTGCGGACCCGCTAGGATGTGAGATGGGTTAGGTCAACAACTACCGAGTCCGCAAGACTTTAACCAATTAACTACTGAGAGACGACATTTATCAGAGTTGCGAAGGTATACCGGTCGTAGCGGGTACGCAGTGCCAGAATTTCGCAAACATCTACGAATGGAAATCTCGAAATGCTGCTAATGTGTGCTTAAGTGATATCAATTAAGAATTCCACGTAAAGTTTAACAGACATTATTAGAATTGAGAATGAACTAATCATCACGCCATGAGCATCCTGCAATTTTTTTTGCATTTTGCAAACACAGTATTGAAAGCGACTGATTGAGTTTGCACATGCTGAGATTTAAATAAGGAAATGGTTGTGAAAGGATACTCTAATGCATTTACAGTTTCCAGTAAACAGGACAGACGAGGCTTTACTGAGCCTCAGCAGTATCAAATTTCCTATGCGCCAAATTTTTACCAAAAAAAATGATGCACTTTCTTTCAACGAGACTTCTGCAAAACCTCGCGTAAAAACAATTCGACCAGAATAAATACGAGAAAAGCAGATAATTTAAAAGCTTTAACGAAAATCCTGATCAGAGGCACATTTGAGGTAGTCTGACATTCATGAATGGCTGTACAAGAAAGATTCAATTCAAAATAGAAAACTACTAAGAACTATGA